CTAATGAATATTGATGCAAAAGTTTTAAATAAAATACTAGCAAGGAGATTACAGCTATATATCACAAAGATAATACACTATGACCAGGTGGGATTTATACCAGAAACGCAGGGCTGGTTTTCAATAGGAAAACTATTAGCATAATTGCCATATCAGTAACAAAACCAACAGAAATCATATTACTATCTCAATAGATACAGAAAAAGCCTTTGACAAAATACTGCACCCTATCCTATTAAAAACACTAGAGAGCATAGGAATAAACGAGCTTAACTTAAAATAAGTAATATTTATCTAAAACCACCAGCAAGCATTATCTGTAATGGGAATAAGTTAGACACCTTCCCAATACAATCAGGAGTGAAGTAAGAATGCCCATTATCACCTTTATTATTTAATATTGTACTAGAAATGTTAGCTATACCAATAAGAAGAGAAAAAGAAATCAAAGGAATTAGAACAGGCAACGAAGAATGAGATTATCACTCTTTGCAGGTGACATGATGTTATACTTAGAAAATCTTAGAGAATCAACTAAAAAAACTACTTAAAATTATTAACAACTTTAGCAAAGTTGCAAGATGCAAAATAAATCCACATAAATTATCGATATTTCTATATATTATCAACAAAATCCAACAAGAGATAGAAAGAGAAATTCCATTTAAAATAACTGTGGACAATGTAAGATATTTGGGGGCCTACTTACCAAGACAAACCCAGGATCTATATGAACACAACTATAAAACACTTTTCACACAAATTAAGTCATATCTGAACAACTGGAAAAATATTAATTGCTCATGGGTAAGCTGAGCCAATATAATAAAAATGACAATTTACCTAAATTAATCAATTTATTCAGTGTCATATCAATCAAACTACCAAAAAAATCATTTTATAGAGCTAGAAGAAAATAACAACAAAATTCATCTGGAAGAACAACAGTTCAAGGACATCAAAGGAATCAATGAAAAAAAAGCAAAAGAAGGTGGTCTAGATCTCAAACTATATTATAAAGTGGTAATTATCAAAACAATCTGGTACTGGTTAAGAAATAGAGTGGTGGATCAATGTGATAGATTAGGTACAAATTACATTATAGTAAATGACCATAGTAATCTAGTATACGATAAACCCAAAGATACAAGCTTTTGGAACAAAATCCCATTTTTTATCAAAAACTACTGGGAAAACTGGAAAACAATATGGCAGAAACTAGGTATAGACCAACATCTCAAATGGTATACCAATATAAGGTCAAAATGGGTACAAGATTTTTACATGTATAGGGTGATACCATAAGCAAATTAAGAAATAATGGAATAGTTTATCTGTCAGATTTATGGATAAGGGAAGAATTTAGGATTAAAGGAGATAGGGAAAGCATTACAAAATGTGAAATAGATAATTTTAATTATATCAAATTAAAAAGTTTTTGTGCAACAAAACCAATGCAACCAAAATTACATGGAAAGAAGAAAACTAGGAAAATATTTTGCAATAAGTATCTTTGATAAAGACCTCATTTCTCAGATATATAGAAAACAGTGAGATTTATAAAAATACAAGTCATTCCCCAATTGATAAATGGTCAAACGATATGAACAGGCAGTTTTCAGACAAAAAAATCAAAGCTATCTATAGTCATATGAAAAAACGCTCTAAATCACTATTGATTAGAAAAATGCAAATTAAAACAACCCTGAGCTACCACCTCACACCTATCAGAGTGGCTTAATATGACAAAAAAGGAAAATGTTAGATGTTGGAGGGGATGTGGGAAAACTGGGACACTAATGCACTGTTGGTGGAATTGTGAACTGACCCAACCATTCTGGAGAACAATTTGGAACTATGGGTTGTAAAACCTGTGCATACTCTTTTATCCAGCAATACCACTGCTAGGTTTATATCCCAAAGACATCCAAAAAATGGAAAAGGACCTATTTGTACAAAAATATTTATAAAAGCTCCTTTTCTGGTGGCTAAGAATTGGAAATCAAAGGGATGCACATCAATTGGGGAATGAATAAGCAAGCTGTGATATATGATTGCAATGGAATCTTATAGTGCTGTAAGAAATGACAAACAGGATTATTTCAAAAAAGCCTGAAAAGACTTACATGAACTGATGCATCAGGAGAATGTTGTACACAATAATAGCAATATTGTCAGATGAAGAATGACTTAGCTATTCTCAGCAATACAATGATCTAAGACAATTCTAAAGGACTAATGATGAAGCATACTATCCGCCTCTGAAGAAAGAATTGTTGATTGAATATAAACTGAAGCATGGTATTTTTCACTTTCTTAATCTTTCTTTCTTTCTTTCTTTCTTTCTTTCTTTCTTTCTTTCTTTCTTTCTTTCTTTCTTTCTTCCTTTCTTCCTTCCTTCCTTCCTTCCTTCCTTCCTTCCTTCCTTCCTTCCTTCCTTCCTTCCTTCCTTCCTTTCTTCCTTTCTTCCTTTCTTTCTTTCTTTCTTTCTTTCTTTCTTTCTTTCTTTCTTTCTTTCTTTCTTTCTTTCTTTCTTTCTTTCTTTCTTTCTTTCTTTCTTTCTTTCTTTCTTTCTTTCTCCCTTTTATTCCGGTCTTGTACAAAATGACTAATATGGAAATGTTTTGCATAATTGCACATGTATAACGTATATCTGCTTACCATCCCAGGGAGAGGGAGGGAGGAAGGGATAGAATCTGGAATCAGAACTTTAAATGAAAACATTAGAAAAATTTTTTTAAAGACTAAATTACAATGGTTACTTCTACCCATATTATCACATATGCAGTCCTCTGTTAGGCATTTAAAGCTCTTCATAATCTTGTCCTTTCCTCCATTTCAGGTCTTCTTACACTTCATTCCCTTACACTTTAATTTAGCTGAAGTGGCATATTTGCTGTACTTCTCACATGTTACTCCATCTCCCATCTCCCATCTCCCATCTCACCATTGCTCTGGCTATTCCCACAAGCATGGAATACTCTCCTTCCTTACCTCCACATGTTAGATTAATTGGCTTCCTCCAAAACCTAACTTAGTCCCACATCTTCTAGAAGGCATTATTTGGTTTCCTCAGCTAGTAGTGCTTTCCCCTGTGAAATTACTATGCATTTACTCTGCATGTATCTTGTATGGGGGCAGTTAGGTGGCACAGTGGATAGAGTGCCAGGCCTGGAGTCAGAAAGACCTGAGTTCAAATCTAGCCTGAGATGCTTACTAGCTGTATGACCTTGGACACGTCTCTTACACCTATTTGCCTCAGTTTCTTCATCTGTAAAATGAGTTGGAGAAGGAAATGGCAAATCGCTCTGGTATCTTTGCCAAGAAAGCCTTAAATGGAGTCTCAAAGAGTCGGGTAAGACTGATAAGACTGAACAACAACCCACATCTTGTATGTCAATAATTATTTACATGCTGTATTCTTTTGAATGTGAGCTCCCTGTCCTCAAGGAGCTTTTTTTTTTTTTATCCGCAGGTCTTAGCACAGTTCCTGACACATAGTAGGTGCTTAATAAATGCTTAATGACTGACTTGCTTAAGTGTCTTCACCTGAGTCTTCTGAAACTCAGATTCAGGTTTTTGGGCTCCTAGTTCAGTATCTTTCTGACTATATCACTTTGCATCTCAGCTTTTGCAAGGTAGGAGTAAGGCTACACTCAAATACTCTGTTTATCATGTTACAACATTCAAGAAAAAGTGATTATGAGCTACTTGAGAGCAGGGACTATCTTTTGCCTCTTCTCGTATCCCCAGTACCAGCATTATATCTGGCAAATAGTAGGCATTTGATGAAATGTTTATTGACTTACCAGCGGCACTGAAAATTTTAAAAATCATTTGTCCAGATGGATTATCTACATAATACAAAACATTAGGTATTTCCAAAATCACCGTACAGATGTGGAACGTGTCTAAACCTAAAAAAGTCTCTGGAAACTTAAAATCCTGACTTTATGATAAATCAATGATAGAAAATCATAAACCATGATTGATTTTCTTAGGAAAAAAAGTGGTACCTGGGAATATTTAAAACTCCATTCAAGGCTTTAAAAACCATCTCACTTTCTAGGAAATAGCAGTTTTTGTAAAATTGGGTGACAAATATATATATATATATATATATATATATATATATATCAGGGTTCCGTTATTATTTCATCAGACTTGTGATCATTGAAGCTCTAGAAAATCCAGAAGTTCCTGGTACTATCTCTCATCGATGCCCCATGTGTTCAGATAAGGCTATGAACTTCATGACCAGTTTTCTGACTGGGGAGGTATTGAGCTTCAACATGGCAGAATGAACACCATGTCCACAGTTCATTTTGGGGGAGAGTACAAGGAGAGTAGAACGTTACCTAGGACCAGTCAGGAGTTGTTTTTTGTATATGCAAGAATGGTCATTGTCATCCCTATGATTCTAGACTTGCTTAGTATAAGAAAGAATAATGTCAGGTGGATCCATCATTCAGATAGAGCAGTTCTGCACAACCTGCAGCCCAAGGGCGACTTATGGCTTGGCTGCTTACAGCACGCCAAAAGATTTTGGGTGGCCCATAAAAAATGTAGAGGAAAACATCCTCTATAGTTTTCTTGAGCCACCAGAAATCCTTTGGTGGGCCACAGGTTGTGCAGGTATGAAGTAGAGCCTAGAAATGTCACTATATGTAGTTAAGATTTCTTAATCTGCGGGTCTATAACTTGTTTTTTTAAAAAATTTAATAACTGTCTCAAGTTATAACTTATTTGTTTTGTAATCCTATGCTTTTTCTTTTATGTGTTCAAAAATATTATTCTGAGAAGGAATCATTCCATGGCCTTCTCCAGACTGCCAAAAAATCCATGACACACACACAAAAGCTTAAAAACCCCTGCTCTGGTGGGATATACCAAACAGATGGGGGTACCGAGACAGACATGCATATTCAGAATTTATTTGCATGGCTAGTTAAAATGAAGGAATATTTAATTTGCTTAAAGTAATACCTCATCTCACTCACCTTTTTCCCCAACCTCATCTTTCACCCACTGAGCTGTCCTTTTCACATTGTCTGGGTCAGTCACATCCAATAGCACAGTTTGAAGCTTTCCAGAAGTTGCTGCCTTTAGAGCTCTGGATCCAGATTCCGTCAAACAAGCGGCAAGAACACGAAATCCTTTTTTATCAAAAGTTTTTGCTGCCAAGTTTCCAAAGCCTGTGTCACACCCAGTGATGAAGATATACTTATCATCAATGTCAGCAATCCTTAGAAGTCCTTTGCAATTCCACAATAAACAGAATATGATTAGAAAGGCTAACATCCAGAGGATCATTTCTTTTTTTCTTTTGGCCAACAGGGAGACTCCTTTTCCCCTATAATAAAGGAAAATGATGCATGCTTTAAAGCTTGTTTGCTTGTTTGTTTTTAAGCAGCTCAAAGTTCAAATAAAATCTTGGCAAAATGATGCTAGCCATTATGAAAAAAAACTTTAAAAATGTTTAAAAACTGAATACGTATGCTTGTTGGCAATTTCTATTGATAATATGGTACTTCAAATACTGAAAAAAATACTTCCAGTGTAAGGCAGAATCCACCTGGAAACAAGCACTGTTTGAATGGTAAAAGTTAGTGAAAACTCTTGTCACTAAGTTGTGCCTTGTCTGAGGGTCACTGTGAGAACAAATGATAAGAATTTTACAGGTCAATACTACTGATGAGGATCACATAGGAGCAAAATGCTAGAAAAAGAAAGTTGGGAGGAGGAGAAAAGTAAATTAGTATTTCTCAGAATGGGGCCACAATAATGGTCATTCAAATAGAGATATAAAATGGAGTGTGGCTCTGCTGAAAGTAACTTTATTTGGAAAGGACAAGGAAAGTAAAAAAAAAAGTATGTCTGTTAAAATAGTATCTGTGTGTGTGTGTGTTTCTTGTGTGTGAGGGCAGAGTTTTAGGTCAGATGGCTTTAAAACAAAACAATGACACACACTTTTATTCCCCCCTCTAAAGGCTATATACCATAAAAACAAATTTAACAACGATAACCTTGAGTGTTAATGGACTGAACTCAGCATCAAAATGGAAGACAGTTGAGAATTGTCTTAGAAAACAGAAGCCAACAGATGCATATAAAAATACTTTTAAAACATAGAGAGACATGTAGAATTAAAGTAAAGAGTGAGGATAAAATTTATTTTGCTTTAGCTAAATATCACAGAAGTTGCAAACAAGATTTCAGATAATATAATGATAAAAATATGTATTATTAAGAAATATGAAAGAAGAAAAACTACATTATGATTAAAGGTATAATAGAAATGGAAACAATATCAATAGCAAATATGTGTGTGTGTGTGTGTGTGTGTGTGTGTGTGTGTGTGTATAGCCTTTTGGGGTGAATAAAAGTGTGTGTCATTGTTTTGTTTTAAAGCCATCTGATTGCTAAGTTATTACATCTAGGAAAACCTAATTGATATGCAAAAAACCTAGGTAGTAAGACAATAACTGTAGGAGAATTTAGTATTCCTTTCTGGAGGACCTAAGAGATCTAACAGAAACTTAGACAAGAAATAAATTACCTATTTGAACAGAAAAGTAAAAAATAAATCTGAAAAACCTCTGATATTTACTGAATAGGAATTTCAGAGTTTGTACTTATTTTCATAATCATTAATACCTTTACAAAACTTGATCACATAACATATTAAAACATAAAATCTTAAAAATAAATGCAGGCAGGGATAAATAATAAATATGTCCTTTATATTCTGTAACTGAATAAAACTTTAATTGATAAAAAATATTAACAAAATATGTTGAACTGAATGGAGACTAAATATATCTTAAATAATATGTATATCAGTGAATAATTCAAAGAAAAGCAATTATAATTAAGATAATTGTAACATGCTAAAATCTATAGACTATAAAAAAATCAGTCCTCAAGAATAGATATATTTTGAATAGCAATATTTAAAATGAGCAATAGAGAAGAGTTACAAATTAAGCATACATTTTTAAAAAATTCTAGAAAAATGACAAAGTAGTAATGCCAAGCCAAACTTAACAGAAGGAAATTTTAAAATCAAAAGAGAGCTAAGAAAATTGAACACAAAAATGACTGAATTACTAAACCTAAAAACTTGTTTTTTTGGTTCAGAATGACAAAGTGATCAAACCATTAGCCAATTTAATTAAAAATAGAGAGAAGAAAGTAAAAATTTTTTAAAGTGGAGTATTTACTAATGAGCAGACAGAAATGAAATGACCAGAATCTATTATATGATCAATTGCCAATAAAACTGAAAATTCAAATGACATGGACATGGATGAATATCCATATATATCCATGATACAAGAACAACATAATCTTAGAAAGTGTAACCAAGAAAATCTCTACCAACAGAAGAAATTCCTGAAGCACATAATAGTTAATTTTGATTATATGAAATTACAAAGCTTTTTGCAGATATAAAAATGGAGTTAAAATAAGAGGAAATTACATGACTTGGGAAAATATTTTTACCTTAAACATATCTTTATGATTGAAAGCCATTTCCTAATAGATAAATGATCAGATGATAGAATACAGAGTTTTCAAAAAGAAGAAACATAAACTATCAACAATCACCTGGAAAAAAGGTTAAAAATCATAAATAATAAGAAATGCTATTTAACATAACTCTGAGGCATCATGGAAGACCTGTCAAATTGGGCAAAGATGGAAAGATGATGGAAAAATTCAATGTTGGAGGAGCCATAGGAAGTCAGACTAATTCTCTGTTGGTGGAACTGTGAATTGATCTGACTATTCTAGAAAGCAATTTGGAATTATGTAAGAAAATCCACTAACTAGTTCATGCTCTTTGTCTAGTTATTTAGGGGTCAATAAAAGCAAGAAATGGGTCTGTGAATTCAAAAAGAAACATGTACAATACTGTTTGCAAGGAGAGGGAAATAAGCCAAGTACCTAACAGTTGGAGAGCAGCTAGATAAATTGCAGTATACAAATATAATGGAATAATGGCCCTGAAAGGGATGAGGATCAGGATTCAGAGAAATGTGGGAAGACTTCTTTGAAGTGATGCCAAGTGAAGAAAGTGGCAATAAAAGAACAAGGCATACAATGACTATAATAATGTAAATGAAGACAAACCTAAAACTAAGAACTCAGATTAGGTTAGGTGAAATATAATACAGAACGCAGGTCAAATGGATAAAAAAATCATAATAATACCAAGCCAAATGCACTTCCTTTCTGCTAAATGATAAACTACAAACTAGTTATTCAGTGAAAAGCCATTTATTAAATACTTCCATTTATTAAGTGCCTACACTAGCATAGTGTTAAACCCTGGGGATAAAAAGAAAAACAAAAAGTCCTTGTCCTCAAGGAGCCCAGAGTCTAGTGGGGGAGAAAACATGCAAATGACTATATACAAGTTAGCCATCTACAATTGGAAAAAAAAATCAACAGAAGGAAGGCATTCACAGTAAGAAGGCTTAGGAAAGGCTTCCTGTAGAAGATGAGACTTTAGCTGAGACTTGAAGGAAGCCAAGAGATGGAGATGAGGAAGGAAAGGGTTGCAGGTATGGGGAACAGATAGTGAAAATGAATGGAGTTGGGAGATGGAGTGATATATACACAATCCCATTTCACTTAACTGTTTTTGAAGAATGTATTTTGAGGAGGGGGTGTTGGTATTTATGGGTTCATTGGGATGTCTGCTGTTCAGATCTTATCAATTAGAACAATTTCAAAATAAGAAGTGAAAATGTCTCAAAGTAAGTAATGGGATGTTACTTAGAAGTTGGGGGTGTGTAAAGAAGAAGCAATGCCTTTTTTTTAAAAGCTTCCAGGAGAAGTGGAACTCCATATTAGGTGGAGTTGGGCCTAGATAAAATTGGGAAGTGAATTTGCATTCCTAGTTCATCTTCTCACTTTCATCTTATATTTTTTCAGGTGTTTCTTTTTCTGCCTAATGGTCTCATGATGCCTTCTGGTTGTACTGGTAATCCATCTTCAGTGTGCTTTCCAGCTTTTTCTACCTTCCTACAGCAAAACTGGACTGCTCCAGTACCATATAAGAACAGATATTCCTGTTCTTATACCTTTGGCCACATTGTTCCCTAAGCCCAAGAAAGGAAAGGCTGCCCTTTATCCCCTCCATTTGTTGAATTCTTACTTATCTTCGAAAGCCCAACTTAAATTACAGCTTCACCAAATGTAGCTACCTTACAGGGTGGTTGCAATGACCAAATTATACAATGTTTGTAAGGTGCCTAGCATAATGCCTGGCACATAGTAGGTGCTTAATAAATGTTTATTCCCTATTCCCCTCTCTGCTACTCACCAAGTCCTTTGTCAGGAATGACCTTTCTTCACATAGCACTTTACTTGAAACTTTATAATAAACTAATCATGTTTCACATGTTAAAACAGGAACAAAGATGTCTTCTAAGTTCCCTTCCAGCTCTAAAATTCTGTGATCCTAGAATTGGAAATCATAGGATCTGAGCGTTTGAGCAGATCTCAGGTCATCTAGTCTAACCCATATCAGAAAAAGAAACATCTTTACAATATACCTAACAAGTGGTTATCCAAACTTAGCTTAAAAATCTCTGTACTGATGGGCTAACATAACAATCCCCTAAAGCAGCCAATTCCATTTTTCTATCACACTTATTGTTAGGAAGTTTTTCCTTACATTGGGATTAAATCTTCTTCTTTGCAACTTACACCCATGGCTCCTTGTTCTGCCCCCTGACACTAAACAGACAACTTCCATTATATTCCAGAGACAGAGACAGAGACAGACAGACAGACAGAGACAGAGACAGAGAGACAGAGAGAGAGGGAAATGGATTGATAGATCTTAAACTGGTAGCCATACACCAAGATGAGTTGAGTTCTGCTCATGCATGGAGGATTCCCTATCCACATATGCAGAGAAGGAGTGCTTCTGTATCAGTGGACCATGTATAGATGGAAGTGAGGACACTGTGAAGATCCTGAAGTAACAGCAGAGAGAACAGAGGTGCCAAGATGCTGGGAGACCTGGAGAAAACCCCTGTGCTGAGAGCTATTGCATCCATGAGAACTCTAGAATGAAGATGCTCATAGGCAGCTGAACTGGTCACAGCATTAGCACAGCAGGGAAACACCAAACAAAATACCAGTTGAGGAGACATAATTAAGAAGCAACAAGACAAACTGATGCAGAGTGAAATGAGCAGAACCAGGAGAACATTGTACACAGTAACAGCCACATTATGGGATGACTGACTTTGATAGACTTGGCTCTTCACAGCAATGCAAGGATCTAAGACATCTCCAAAAGATTCATGATGGAAATTGCTATCCACATCCAGAGAAAGAAATATGGAGTCTGAATGCAGATGGAAGCATACTATTTGCTCTCCTTTTCCTTTGTTGTTTTGTTTTATTGCTTCATTCTCATGGTTCCTCCAGTTAGTTCTAATTATTCTTTACATCATAACTAATGGGAAAATATGCTTAACATAAAGGTATATGTAGAGCCTATATCAGATTGTATTCTGTCTTGGGTTGGGGGGGGAAGAAGTGGGAGGGGGAGAAAATTAAAAACTCAAAATCTTATGGAAGTGAACGTTGAAAACTAAAAATAAATGAATTAAATTTTTTAAAAAGAAGCAACAAGAAATGATACGGAAAAACAAACACACATATGAGAGAGAGAGAGAGAGAGAGGGAGAGAGAGACAGAGACAGAGAGAGTTCTTCTTTACTGTTATTGTGAGATATATAAATTTTACAGGTCCAGGAACAGGGAAAGTTGACACTGTAGTGACCCCAGTCTATAGAAAGTGGTACATTTAAGTTGGTAGTATGAAATAGGTCTCTGTGGGAAAGCACAGATTTTTTTTTTAAATCTCTCTTTGGGCTATGATAAAAATACTTTATTTTTTGTTGTAGAAACAAAACTTTTCCTATGTTTGATGCTCTTGTTAGCCTGCATGCTTGCAGAGAATCTTAGAGGTCCTTTTGGAAAAAAAGAAAAACAAGCCAGTATGGACCTTCCTAGTTTTTTTTTTCCCCCAAATGGGGGAATGAGCCAGAGATATTTTTTGAGAAGTACATAGAGAATTATATCTTGGTCTTTGTTTTGCTTGACTGTGTATATTCATTACAAGGATAAAAAAGAATAAGAGAAAATAATTGTCCATTGAAAACAGTAAAATTTAATTAAAAAGAGAAAATTATTCTTGAGCTTCATGTTTGGAGGGATGAGCTGACACCTAGACTACATGTAGCTCATGCTTGATAAATATTGCAGAATTGAATTAAATTAATGTAGGCAATGAAGGGGCTGTAATTCCTATTCTACAGATGAGTACTGAGTCACAAAAAGGTGGAGAGCAACTTGTTCATTACCACGCAGCTAGAATATTACAGAAGAGAAGGACGCACAGCAGAGGAAAATGATGCCAGAAGACAAGGGAGAATGGAAACATTGAATCAAGGCTATAAAGATTTATAGCCTCACTATATGGAGTGCTAGGCCACTTGTTAAGAACGTGAAAAACCCCAAGAAAGGCAATTTCCCCCTTCATTTGCCTTACCGAATGTGTGATGCTGATTACTTGTCTGTTTATATCTACTTCTGCTTATTTTAATTGTCTCTTCTGTGGTTCCCTGTCTTGATTTGAATTTAAAATCATTCTTCGCTCTTACTTCTTGCTACTCACTCGCTGCTTTTGTTTTTATGTATTTAATAAAAAGAAAATGAAAAGCTGCTCCTGCTGTCTCATTGTCTCCTCCTGAAGAAAGTAAGAATGAAGGAGCTCTGCACTTAAGTCCTCCTGGCTTTGATTTTTATATTACTAACTTCAAACTTACAGAGTGCATTTCCTTAGTACAAAATTCCTTTGAGAAGCATTAAATCATACTGGCAAGAATTTAAACAACTTCAGTTTACTGATATCAGCTTGTCTGATCAAATAAACTTCTCCTCTGAGTTGAATCAGTAGCTAAACTGTCTACCAGTTGACACCCAGTGTGGAATATTGAGCAGGAAATGGTTATTATATGTGACTGTATATCAAAGAGAGTATTTCTTGCTAACTAGCCCTTAAGAAACAAACCTTCTAAAAAAATCCAAAATATTTTATTTGTGTTTCCTTGTTCCTTTTTGCCTATTCCAAAATATTCCCTGAATTTTGTTCCATCACAGAACAAGAATTTAATAAATGTTGAGTAGAATTGAATGCATAATGTGATTTTATTATTTTGTGACATTTTCTCTCAAATGAAAACATCAGAAGGCAGTTGTCTCTTTTTTTTTTTTTACTTTCTCTTGCTACTCTGGAGAAGTATTTGAATGACCTACCCCAATAGATCAGTAATCTCATTGATGTGGATGCCGTCTCTACCCCATCCAGGCCTGTTTATCCACAATTCTGGACTGCAGAATTTAATGGGATTGACTTCTATGTTCCCTTCTGTAATATTACTTTCTGACATTATTACTTTATACTGGCTACTTATAAACTTACTGTATTGACTAGAAAGGTATGCTGCGGGTCTGGGGGAATAGAACAAGAAAAAGTTTAATGTGCACATAAATCAGTAGCAAATAAATTTCTTTTTCTACTTATGATAGGTATCCAAATGGTCATCCATAATTGAGGCAATATATTATATCCTTAGACATTAGTATAAATCTCTTCTTTTACACACACACACACACACACACACACACACAAAACCATGTTTTCTGCCCTTTTCATCATCAACTGATCCTTATGAAAAGGGCCTGAGGAAGACAATGTCCCTTACAAATAATCTGGAGAAAAGAGACTGAATTGCCTACAAAAAGATCTTTCTAGATCACAATAAACTTTAAATTACCTAAGTGCTACACACCATGAATTAGAGCTTGCTAAAAGTGAAAGGAGCTGGGTAGCAGCTTCTCCCATATTATAGACTCCTCAAGTAGCTTTATGACCATGTGCCTACCAGACTCAACTCTTCCCGCTACTTTCCCTTTCACTGTAATTTATGTTAATATCCTGTAATTACAATTACCAATATTCTCATAGATTTGCTTTGACACAATTTTTTGGCTGTTTATTACTTAATTTATCATCTATCCATTCATTCATTAAACAAATATTCACTGAGTACCCGTATGGGCAAAGGCAAAGTTGTTCAGGTGTTTCAGTCATGTCTGACTCTTCCTCATCCCATTTGGGTTTTTCTTGGCAAAGTTACTGGAGTTTCTTCCCATTTCCTTCTCCAGGTCATTTTCCACAGGAGGAAACTGAGGCAAACAGGGTTAAGTGACTTGCCCAGAGTCACATAGCTAGTAAGTATCTGAAGCTAGATTCGGATTGAGGTCTTCCTGATTCTAGGTCCTGCACTTTATCCACTGTGCCACCTATTTCCCATGAGAGATACAAAGTTGAGCAACCACAACCAAAAAAGCAAAACAAAACAACCAGACTCTGCCCTCAGGGATCTTACAGTCTAGTAGGGAGCACAAGACATGCATATATCTATATTAAGAAGAATGATGCAATCTTTTATAAGAAGTACAAAGTGGAGGGAAAGATCACTTTCACTGGGATGATCAAGGAAGATTTCAAATCATAGAATTCTGTAATTTTAGAGATGGAAAGGACCTTAGATATCACTTAATGTAAACCCTTCATTTTATAGAAGAGGCCTGGAGAAATTAAGTGATTTGCCCACAATCACACTGTAAGTTAGTGTCCTCTTCATGGAGAAAATGGCCATCTTCAGGCTAATATTTGTATTTTAAGGAACCATCGAAGACAATGGTGATTATTTTTTTTTAAATTCAACTAGAATCTCTGTATAAAAATTCCAAATAATACAAGATTATACATTTTGGATGTCTTAACTACCATGATTTCAGGTTTCTGATAAATCTTTGGATATGAAGGATAATTAATGTTATGTGGATATACCAAAGACTGTCTTCCAACATTAAGAGCTTTTTCCTTTCCACTATAAACATCCTTGAACAAAAAAAAGGGCACTTGAATTCAGGACAACTTCAGCATGATGAAGTAGCTTCCAAGTTAGGTTTCTTTTTTAAATTCCCTCTTTCACTTGTTTGAAATATGTGACAGAATGATAGATATTAATCTCCATAGATCCCAAGGTCTGTTTGACAAGTAAAGGATAACTTAAAAAACTCAAATAAAGGTTTAAATATCATTTTAGTATGTATCTTTCCTACTAGCCAATTTAAAGTTGTTTGTACAACTCCACGATGTTTTTCTAATAGTTTCTCTAAACGTTCCTAAATGTTCATGAAAATATCAGAAAGCAAATACAGTAGGGACATAAACTACCTCTTCCATAAATCATAGGGTTCTACAGAACATTCAAATGATTCAGAAACTGAAACCACAAGACTTTAGAAAGAAACTTACTGTCCCAAGTCCTGCATCATTTTGGTCAGTGAAATGGCAAACAATTCTCACCCTAACCAAGCTTTCACATGTGAAAGGCATATGACTTGGCATCTTCCAGCTCTGTGGAACAACTTCTGATAAAGGTAAGAGAGGCTACAATAAAATGAGCAGTAAAAAGACAGACACGTCATGCATCCTCTACATTCTAGAAAGCATTTCTGACCCCTAGTTCCCTTTAGTTTTCCCCTTTTCCTCTTATTTTTGCCCATCCTCCTGGGCCCAGTTTGACATCTGAAAGTCAGTTTGTGTGTCCTACCAGTAGAAAAGTCAGATCTTCAGCAAAAACTCTGACCCATGTTACATTGTTGCTATTGTCCAGTCGTTTCCATACTATATGTTATTTCAGTGAGCCAATGACCTGGGTGCCTCATTCTATCCCAAGGTTGATTTTTTTTTTGCTTTCATTTTCTCATTAATTGTGAAATACCTGCCAATGAACTCTGTCAGCATAAACAGTTAAAAGCAAAAGATATTTATGAATATAGTATGTTCTGTAACCACGAACAGAATCTTGGTTATAATAAATATAATAGTCAATATTTTGGGTAAAGACAGAGCTAGAGTGCTTCCTTTGCATACCTGTCTGCATCACAATTGTATAGACTCCACAAAAGGGCTCTTCCAGATACAACATACATATATACTGTTTCATCAATCATGTCACTGATTGATGGCAATTTGAGAGATACTTTTAGTTTTTTCCTATAAGAAAGAAGAAAATTTGGAGGGGGTGTTTAAAAAAAAAGTTATGGGGGAGGGGGAAATGACCCTCAGTTGTTAATAATTACCTGATCTCAAGATGAGCTGGCTAGCGGAAGCTAGCTATTCCTTGACTAACTCCAGGCTTCTTTTGACCAGAAATGGAAGGAAAGGGTGGACCACAGAAACCAAATGTTGCTGCTCTCTGGGATGGAGTGGAAGAGGCCAAGGCAGCTCAGAGCAGGGTGTCTGACCTGCTTCTGAAACTGCAGGTCTGCTCTTTTATTCATGAGTCATATTGGTTGTGACACTCACTGATGACTCAGATGTTTCTGATGGGTGAAGGAAGCCAAGCAACTGTGGGCTACACATCACATAAGAGAACAATATTTTTACTACATTTATTTTTAGAATTCTTAAGAGGTGACCTAACAAAAATTCCTGAATGGCATTCTAAATGATGAATTGTTCATATTTGCATGTTTCTAGACTTCTTTCTCTTTCTCAGTTTACTCACATTTGGGGCATCTTATCATTAATTTTGCTGAAAAAAGAGAAGTATGAAAAACTCCTTACAAACCTTAGCTAACATCATCATCATCATTATGTAGGAAAGGTGATCTATAATGATGCTTTTATTCTTTTTAAAATTTATTTTAATTTATTTTTAGAGTTTTTTATGTCTTTCAAAAATGTTTGTTAAAGTAGGCAGATGAAAAAATTGATCAAGATGTAGTTTTGGAATTCTTGGTGGGCCTTAATATTTCATTCTCTCCCTTAGGTTTCAGGACAAGATCAGAGGGAGTCCCAAGACCACTCACTAAAGGAACACCAAAGGTGTTCCTGACTGAGACATGACTCTTGGAAAACCCAGAAGAGAATGGCATATCAAAAAGCAGGTGGCACCCTCCGATTCTCTGCCATTCGACACTACTCCATGGAAGAAACTTGGACAGACACTGACATCTGAAGGGATAGGAGTGAAATGTGGTTCCCTGTGAACTCCCCACCCCCTGCAATTTGTGTTAGCTACAAAACACCTACAAACTCTATACAGAGTGCTTTCTTGTAGGTCCCTTGCATTTCTCTATATTTTTGCACACTCTTCCACTTTCCTAGAACCCTTAGTTTCTTTACAAAATGTATTTTTAAAAAATTACTCATCACTGATTAGTGTGAAAATAATACGTTTTTCTAATTCTTGATGCAAAAATCCATCTCTCATTCTGTTCTCTGCCTTGATCAGTTTCCTAAAGATATTAGGTAAAAATAATGAGGGTCAAACTTATATCTGGTATCAGAGTCCTATAGCCAGAGACCTTTAAGAGCACACTCTAACCCCTTTCTACTATAGATGAGGAAACTGATACTGGGGTTAACCTGTCTAAAGTCACACAGTGATAGGACTGAGATTCTGGGCCCTTTGACATCTTAGTTCTTTCCAGACTGTTACATGTACTAGAAGGGATGACACAAAGACCTTCATTCCCCAAACAATCTCCTACTTGCTATCTGTTGCCTGCCTAAAATCCTTTTAAAAGTTAACAAAACTTCATTCCATAAAGGAGAGAAAAAGCTCAATATGCAAAAGACACTGTGGAAAGAAGTTACTGAGAAATTCACACTAAGTAAATGACTGACCATAGATCCCCTTCTCCAGTAGGATTTGATAAGGGTCAGGGTGGAGAAATCCTAAGAACAACCAGTGCCTGAAATGGAATGGAGGTGGGGTGTGGGGGTGAGTGGAGAGAGATGGGAAAGCATAGAAGGGTGTGCTTTGGAAGGGGGAATGAAAAGACATCCAGAACACTAAAGATAAACATTGCCTATTTCACAATTGAAGAGGAAAATGAAAAACAGACACTGAGGGTGCCAAGGATAAATATTGCCTATTTCACAATTTTGCTGTTCTCTAACCCTATCTCTAAACCTAATTCTGTTTCTAACCCTAACTCTTATCTTAGATATAAAAGCCTGGTATAAATTATTCATAAATAGATGTCTTTTGTGTGGGTTCAAATATTAGGGGTATGACCAAATCAAATTCTTATCCAATTATTTTTATTTTCCTTGCTGAGCCACTTTCATTTGTCCAAATAATTGAATTGATTCTAACCAGGTTGGATTCTAACAGACTGGAACCAATACTGACCTCTGTACAGTAATCTTCACACCTCCATAGACCTGAAGTTCCTAATATGTCTTCAAGATTTCTTAATATTGAAGTATTATTTTGTTTGAAACTACCTTCCCATATTTGATTTTTGGTGCAGAAGGAATGGTAGCAGTGGTAACAACAACAGCAACACAACAAAAAGGAACACCTGGACCTATGAATTTCATTGGAACTCCCAAGGAAGGAAACGCCCCCTACCAATGATGGTGGCACCTTCTCTGAAACTTATTGTCAAGGGACTTGCCTAGAGCACTGAGACTTGTGACATGAGTAGAATGTAGGTGTCAATGGAGCACCTGACCCTAGATCTTCCTACCTTTAAGGGAACCTCTCTATTCACTACACTGAATTTCCTTTCTGGCCAAAATTGTTGTTTAGTCATTTTTCAGTCATGTTTGGCTCTTCATGACACCATTTGGAGTTTTCTTGGCAAAGATACTGACATGGTTTGCCATTTCCTTCTCCAGCTCATTTTACAGATGAGGAAACTGAGGTAAATACAGTTAAGTGACTTATCCAGAGTCACACAGCTAGTAAGTGTCTGAGGCTACATTTGAACTCAGGTCTTCCTGATTCCAGGAAGAGCACCACCTAGCTGCCACTAGCAAAAATACAAAGCCACTAAACCATATATCTAGGTAGATACAGATAACTTTTTTTTTCTTTTTAAATTTGTTAACAACAAGTGGTAGAGTGGTTGGATTTTCTAGATGCAGAAAAATACAAAGGACCCCAATAAAATTAAAACACAAATCTAACTCATAATTACTCAGCCAAACAAAACAAATCACTTAGGTATTGACAACAGACAGAAGGATTTAGCCTTCCAAAAAATATTAAGTGCTTGGATAACGGAATTATAATTACATAGTACTAGCATGTTGGTACTTCTCTAAAGTTGTAATGACAATAAACCCCTAAAGATCTTGGTTCTCCTTTTTTCTTCTACAGACACTACCTTATTTTTACATTTTCCTCTACTGCCCTGGGGGAGTTTTCTACACCTTTTCTGGAGTAAAAATTGAGGTAGTATCAAAGCCACTACTAGAAGGAGGCAATCTGAGCCTTGCTTCAGGGCACCAATTTGGAGGATGACTACAGCAGGGCCCTTCAACAGCAAGGAAACAACAGTGCTTAGTACCTACAAGAAGAATTTCATAAAACAGGAAGCTACCACGTCAGCTTTATTTTCTCATTTGAGTCTCACACGCCCACTATGAGGTGTGTACTACAAAGTGTATTTTACAGAGAAGAAAACAGAAGCTCACAGAGGAAAGTGTCATGTCCATAGCCCCAGGGCCAATAACTTATCAGAGGTGGGATTTGAATCCAGGTCTCCCAAACCTAGGTCCATCACTTTATTCAGTGTATCACGTTGACTTTCTAATTGGTAGTATAAAGTTATTCATAGAAACCACAAACTGACTTTCCTTACAACACTGTAACTCGACCATTTTCACAGGGTTGAACCATTCCCTCTCTAAAATCATTAGGAGTGTTCTGTGATAACCTATGGGCTGGATCTGTGACTTCTTACTACTACAGGGGTCCTATTTCCCCATATGCTTCTCATGCCTGCCTGCAAGTCTCTTGCTTCCAGTTTAAGAGTAACCCATATGTCCTTGGGTCCTCTTTTACCTCGTTTTATTTTTCTTCCTGTGAAATATTAGCCACTTGTACAAGCATTCCAACACATGTTTTATGTGACTGTATAGCTGGCCTCTTTCACAATGGAGCAGCTTTGTTGCTACTTGGACTCTTCATGGACATTGTTAACGTGAGATGAAGTCAGACAAATGTTTCAAGCCTAAAGTAAAACTTCATGAGGTACCCGATAGGTTCTGGTTTGTTTCCATGACTGAGTCTTGTTTATCATTGATAGTTTCTTTGTATAGAGGCTTTTTCTTTCCATTCAGGGTACACAATTAATCCCCTTAAATAAATATATTAAAAGCTAATCCCCTCAGAAGGTGAGGCTTAGGGTAGGATGATGTGGGAGACCATTTCAGGGAAAGGTAGTTAGTACTTGAGAAAAGATGAGAGATTTGGGTGTGGTTAGAGACTTGATAAAAGCAGATTGTAATTTCCCCGCAGAACTAACTCAGTGGGCTGTGTTCAGCTGTGGTTAGCAAGTAAACATGACCCGGTGAACAAGAATAACGAAAGAGAGAGAAGGGCAGGGGAACAGGGGAAAGGAGAAGAGGAACTAACTTTCTCCATAGAGCCTTTTTTAGTTTGACCATTAGGAGATCACCAGAGATGTCCTAATTGCCAGTGCTGCTGGTCTTCTCTGCACTATTTGACACTATGGCCCACCCTCTCTTTCTTACTAGTTCTCTGACTACACTGTTACATTGCTACTGGAAGTAAATATGATGGGGCTACTTCTCTTCAGGTTGACATTCCCCCACTACCCACCATTCAATATGGCATGATTCTTTTTTGTGACCTCACCTTTCAAATACTCTGAGGTTCCTTTTAACCTGATTTTTGCCTATACTAACATACTGGGCAAGAGGAGCAATGAGGCATGGGGGAGGGGAAAGGAGCTGGAAGGACCCAGTGTGATGTAGACATGATTCTCCTTTCCCCAAGCAGTAGAGATTACCCCTTGAAGATGGTTCATGATCTTTCTTATCTTTACCCTAAATGGATCCACATTTCTTCTTCTTGCATTCAAGATGTTAAAAGAAATGGAAAATGGAGTACTCAATCATTTTTTACAAGGCCCATCTAATCCTTTCTCCAGGGTTTTATATTTAAATCTCTATTAGGAAAGTAGAATTATGTATGCAGCATTGCTGTTGTTCAGTCATGTCCAACCATTTGAGATTTTCTTGTCAAAGATACTGGAGTTGTTTGCCATTTCCTTATTCAGCTCATTCTTTAGATGAGGAAACTGAGGCAAACAGGGTTAAGTGACTTCCCCTGGGTCACACAGCTAGTTAAGTGTCTGAGGCCAGATTTGAACTGAGGAAGATGAGTCTTCTTGACTCCAGGCCTGGTACTCTATCCTCTGTGCTATGTCAACTGCCCCTAACGGCAAAATTGGTGTTTTCTAAATTGTCACAGGAGAAGAGATTTGGAT